TGAACCGTCTGTACTCTTCTAATGGCATTTTTCCTTGTGTTAAGTAACCATTGTTACTTAGGGATATATAAACTACTTTGCTCAAATTGAAGCTTAATAGAAAATTCTCAGGATAGTATTTTGTAAATAGAGAATGAAATAACTATGAATATTGTGAATAAGTGATTTCCATTGTACAATAGTCATTTTAAATTAAGTATTTCTAACTTGAGTAATCTCTTCAGAGGTGTATAAAATTAAATCATGTGAACCGTATTTTAAAAGCCAGCTCTTTTGTCCTTGTTTAGCTGTACAGGGAATCTCTCTGCATGCCAAAAGTGATTCTTGCTGCTTTATGAATAAAATGTGAAAACAAATTGAAACCGTTAATAAAAGTCTACTGAAAATGAAGGCAATTGTCACTGTTAGCATGGTACTATACAAGAAGGTGAAGTGAAGAAGAATTAGTATCATTCCCTACTACATACATACTCTGTTAATGACCTCATAGGTAATCTTTCAGCTGTCAAAACTTTACAAAGTGGCAGTTGTCCTACCAGTACAGTGGGAGGGAAGGGGAAGCAGAAATCTAGAGCAACTCTCCCATCAGTCTTCAAAACCAGTAGCGTGGGGTTGTGTTTTATTGAAGATGTGTAGAGGCTTGGTGGGTTTTGTTTTTTTTTACTGTCTCAACATGAACTCAGTTTATTAGTCTTTGGATTTTAGCACTGGCATTTGGGAAGCTGGGTGGGACAAAAAAAAAAAAAAAAACACCTCACTTCCTCATTCCTTCAGCTCTAACTTGGGAGAGCACTCTGGATTTATCAACAAAATGACCACACAGGATTTCTGTAAGCACACTCATTCTAACACATAGGACAGACCATTAAAACCGCAAGGCAAGATCGAATTTCTTTCTCATCTAGAACAAGCACAGAAGCAAGTATACCCAATACACTTAGCAAAAAAAGCAACAAAAGCGGTCAAGAACATGCTGCTACAGCAAACATTTAAAAAACCCAAACCACCATATAATTTTAGACATGGATTGTGTCCATGCACGTTTTGTAGTGATTGCTAGGCTTCACAAAAAAAGCAGAATTAAAAAATAACAAGAAAGAAGTAGCAAACTGCAGCATTAATAATTTTGTGCCTATAAAAGCCTTTGGTGTGTTGTCTCATCCACCTCTTCACGTGAGTTTGCTGCTTCCCCGGGCACAGCACGCTTAGTGCAGGCAGGGCGCAGGCATTGCTGTGCCATGCTGGATCTGGACAGAGCCTAGCTCCGTTTTTACTGACTGTTGTACTACCTAAAGCCTTCTGCTAGAAGCTGTTGGCTCTTCTGTCAGTTTAGCTTCACCTTGAAAACCATGTAATTACTCACAAGGCAGTCATTTGGTAAGGGACCCTTTGAGATAAATAAGGAAACTTTTTAGCAAGCCCCCACCTGCAGTAGCAGCAGTGGGTAGTTCAACTGCCATTCCCCACGTTCTCTGTGCACACACGCATGCACCCAAAAGCCACAATTTCAGCCTTTAATATAAATGCAGCCACCACACCCCATAATTAGAAGTTACCAAAAAAAAAAAAAAAAAGTGGGCTGGAGATTTTTTTGTTTTTGTAATTGCTTAGGTCAAGCCTGCCAATGGAGCTTTTTCTTTCACAGCTCAGTACTCCTGCTCCTACCATTATTTCCACATAGGCTTATTTCAGCTGCAGCACTCTTCCACAGCTCATTCCTGCAATTTCTTTATTCTCCTTTCTACTTCTAGTTTAGTCCTCAAAGACCTTTAGTTAAGCCTTTGTACTTGAGCTGTTTGACACATTTGACAACAGACATTTTAAAGCATCATCCATGTTAAATTGTTTTAACTGCTATTTAGCTTAATTCAGCTGTTGCATCATTTTTAGCCAATTAGTTGCTTTCTAAAAGCTCTAAGTTTGCCTGAAAGACTTCACCAGGATTCTATAAGGGACTGTTCGATTTTACCCTTGATACCAGTCCTAGGAACAGCCAGAACTGCCAACTATCAGCTTGCCCCTGTACATCAAACCAATGGATAGCACAGAGGTCCTTAGTTTGATAATACTGCCACCGTAAGAACCCCACCACCACCACCAATTCACATTAAGGGTTGCAAACTACTTAGGAATGTAACTATACTTGCTGAACAAATACGGTATTTTCTCTGTGTGGGTTAAATATTTGTTCTAGCTTGTAACTAAATTAACTGTCTGCAAAAAAAAACAATTCTTCCTCCACCAAAACAATCTACTCTATGCCCACAATGATATTGGAAGCTGTAGGCAAAACAAAAGTTAGCTGGACTAAGATAATGCAGGACAAGCATGGATTAGATCATACCAGAGAGAATGGAGTAACTTCAGACATTTGGTTTTTCCCCAGTAATAGCCCAAAAGTTTCAGACAAGCAATTTAAAAACAAGCTTGGACTTATGCAATAGGAAGCAGGGTATAGGAACCTGACAGATGTATTCAGATATGTTTAACCGAGAAGGGTCACACGAGTGCTTATGCGGGGAAGTCCCTGTTCCCCCCAAAAGAAAAAGCAACCCAGTTTTAACAATTGAGGGCTTGTGTTCCAAGTTCCTGCTGCTAAATGTAGAATGCAGCAAGACTAACTTGACATCCCTGTCTCTTCAGGAAAAACAAAGAGAAACAAACAAAAAGTTTAAAATCCCATTTGGGATTATGCAAGCTCAAAGTCATTTCACAGAGTCTGTAAGGCCCCACTCCCAATACAAGCACACTTTCCACATTAGGACCATCTTAGTTTCCTAACACTTGATTTCAAATTGCTTCAGCTTGAATCCCTTCATCCTGGTATCACTAAGTCAGATTATTGCTAGAAATACAACCAACAAAACCTTTTATTTATTTCTAAGACAACAGAACAGAGGTGTATCCTCCAACACTGCTCATAGTATGGGTTTCACCACACACTGGTGCCTAACTGGACTGCCTGTACTTGTAAAGTAAGAAAGGTTATCGTAGTCTGCATGTATTAAATACGTTGGCTCCGTACCTGGAACGCAAGCCATACCCAGTGATTAGACTTCAGAGTGCATGGAAGCGGATCTGGAGGACTAACAATGGCCACCCATTGATACAGCCTATTTTAAACACTGTGGCTGGAACTGCAGTAAGTGGAAGGACTGCGCATCTCTCTACCTTAGTCAAGTGGCCTGTTTCTCCTGCTCCGTATCTTACCTTTCAAGATTAAGTTAATTAAAAACAAAACAGAAAACAGGTTAGACTAAAAAGAGAAAGTCATTTATATAACAGAAAGGTAAACAAGTTACTTCCCAACTGTGTTAAGTAAGGCCATAGAAACACAGTAGTTCTACAGAGATAAAATGAACATCCTGCAACCTCATTTAAACCAGAGGATGCAGCATTTTCTTCAGGAAGTTGCACAGAAAAAGCCAGAAGTCTTGATCACTTTAAGACCAAATTTAAGGTCCAGATGATGCTGAGCAATCACTGTCAGATTTAACTGCTACATAAACCTCCCTCCTGAGGCTGAGCCCTGAAAGGCACAGAGACCAAGTCCTGTTATTTCACTTTACTGGAACATGAAAAGCTGTAATTGTATTTACCTTATCTACGTGACCCACAGCGTATCTTCCGTAAGTTGGTACGTGATCTTGCACACCAAATCCAGAAGATGTAGGAGACTGCTTAAACAATAAGCAGCACAATTCCCACTCCTGGTAGCGGTTTGGACTATCATAAAATGAAGTTCAGAAGCTCAAATGAAATCCGTGCTTGGCACGCACACACTGAACAGCCACTCCGACAATTCTCACAGCACAGTCAGCCATCGCAGGGCATGGCAGCTCTTCGACAGCTTACCAGACATTTGCCGTTTTCATTCAGAATGCACAGCTACGTACCCCTGAGTATGGATAAAACGTCAAACCGAAGCATTGCAGGTATTCATAATCTATTTAATAGTGGGACACCAAAGAAGTACTACACATTTCTCTTGAGCACATTAGATTTTGATTTAAGCAATTGCAATGGATGCAGGAATTTCTCAAAAATAGTCTTCTATATTCTACAATCCACAGTTTACTGTATCAGTCTATTAAGTCATATTACTTATATACTGCTTGTGCTAACTGGTCTGATAGTCTGATTTTTAGCAAAGCATCCTCTCCCTTCCTCCACCCCCCAAAAATGTTGACAAAATTCAGCCAAATTAAAAAAATTACTGTATGACTTATTTTAGACTTGTCCGTTGACCTAAACACAATGGGAGCTACCAGTTATACACAGCTTATGAACGATGTTGCATGTGAATTCTAAAAATCTTCATGCTGATACAATAAAATATTTTATACAGCGATCAATTTTTAATGCTTTATTCGTCGATTAAAAGAATATACATTTAACATAAACCATACAACATCAGTCATCAATTCAAACATTCAGCTGGTTTCCTTACATTTTCTGTCAGGAGTTTTTTTTTTTTATCTGATCACATTTATAAGATAAAATCTCACCACATCTGGCATATACACACACTGTGCCAGTGGATTCACTCTACTGATGTACATATAAAATCCGCATGGTATGTGCTCACTGGAGACAAAACAGCGCACACCTGTCAAAAGGTCATTTTAATATAAGATGGTAAAACCATTTGTAAAACACATATAAACTTTTTCCATAAATAGAATCATATCTGGACATCTGTTGCATAAATTGTGTTTTCCAAAGCTTACAATATAGCAGCCAGGTCTCAGCACTGCTGGGCACCCACGTTGGCCACTTACTTTATTATTGCAGACTGTCCTTTAAACATTAAATGCACAACATTCGTACCACTTAAAACTGGGGTCAGGTGGAAGTCTCACAGAGACCACGTCTGTACCGCGGTTGCCCTGAAACAGTTAAATCGGCTTTTAAAGCCTCTCAGATATAACAAGATTTTAAAACATACTTCATGGAATGT